GAGGGAGTAGGGGGATGGGGATGAGGAGTGACCCCTCCAGGGATGGTGGTGGGGGGAGTGGAGGGAGTAGGGGGATGGGGATGAGGAGTGACCGCTAAGGGGTATGAGGTTCTTTTTGGAATGGTGAAAATGTTCTTGAGTTAGATGGTAATAATGGCTGCTGAACTTTGTGAATGTGCCAAAACCATGGCATTGCACACCAAAATGATGACCTTTATGGCATGTGCATTCCATCTCAATGAGAAAAGAATGATTCCATCTCAATTAGCAAAGAAAGATGGCCTATTCTCTGACTACCAGCCCTGAATGTGGACCAAGCTGGTCCTGCAGTTCTCAGCAAGGTGACTGTCCTGCTTCTCCCTGTGTGCTCTAAGTCTTCAGAACGTAACCCTCAAGAGAGGAGGTGCTACCACATAATTCTTTAAGCAGCTGCCTCGATGACTGACTGTGAGTTTTCTGAGGGCACACACCGTGACTTATCCAACCCTCTGCCTTTAGCGCCTGGGACACACATTCAGGGCTTAGTGAATTTAATGGAGGGTGTGCCATGAATCCCTGGGAGGAAGGAGCTTAGCAGAGAGTCTGCTGGATTAAAAAGTCATGAAAGATGGTTCTCAGTGGGGCCAGCTTGCCCTCCAGGGGACATTCGGCAATGTCAGAGGACACTTTTGATTGATGTGACTGGGGAAGGGGAGGCTAGGGATGTAAAACCCTCTACCACGCACAGATCAGTCTCCTACAGCAGATTATCACCTGGTCCCACATGTCAGTGGTACTGAGGCTCAGAAACTGTGTATCTGTTTCTTATTGCTGCTGTAGCAAGTGACCCCATAGTGTCTCGGTGGCTTAAAGCGACGTACACGTATTCTGTTACAGTTCTGGAGGGCAGAAGCCTGAGATGAGCCTCACAGGGCTGTGATCTGGTGTTGGCAGGACTGAGTGCCTTTCTGAGCTTTGGGGAGAATTCATTCCTTGCCTTTCCAGCTGCAAGGGCTGCTGAGGGCCTCGCGCTCCGCCTTCAGAGCCAGCGAGGCAGCATCTTCCCTCCTTTCTGACCTCATGCCCTTTGAGTGGTTGGTGTTTTCTTTTGTTGTCAGTAATGTGAATGGAATTGGAACTCAGCACAGTTTCAGTCAACCTGATTTGCTGAAAGCCAAAGAGGATTCTACCGGATCAGAGACCCATCTTGGGAGAACGTCAGGTGATGCAGGGTTCCCAGCTAAGCGTGCCTGAGGGCCGGCTCACAGCCCCTCTCCTTCGCCTGCACGGAGCAAAGACCCTGAAATGCCAGCCTGGGGAAGAGCCCTGGATTAAAAAGCCATGAAAGATGGTTCTCAGCGGGGCCAACTTGCCCTCCAGGGGACATTTGGCAATGTCTGAGGACACTTTTGATTGATATGACTGGGGAAGGGGAGGCCAGGGATGTAAAACCCTCTACCACGCGCAGATTCAGTCTCCTACAGCAGATTGAAGGGCCACCAAATCACAGCCACCACTGGGTTTGACTGAATTGTGAACGGGATGTGGTTTTCCTTCCAAATATAAAAGCTTTCAGTGAAATAGATAAGGCTGAAATTGGGGCTGAATGTTCCTGAAACAATCATGTAAGAATAATACTGAAACTGACTAGACGCGCCCCTAGCGTGGATCACGCAGTGAATATTTAACCTGATTTGAGTCCCTCCTGATTTTCGTACTTAAAAAAATGATAATTGATGACTTCATTATCTGTGAATGTGTTTTTATTGTGCTTCTTTCCAAGAATATGTCCTAATTACCAAAATCATTAAATATAATGAAGTGATATGGAAGGAAGTAGAATGTGTGCATAAAGAGAAGAAAGAACTGAAATATGCCGCCTTGGAGGGTGAACATAGTTACTCCAAGATTCTCATTTGGCTCCGAGTTTCCAGGGAGGCTGGACAGAAAAGAAAATATGAACAATTGCATAATTCTCACGTCTTTGGGGAAGGGAGCTCACTGCTTCCCCAGCGAAACGAAGCACGGCGTGCTGGACATGATTTTCTTACTCGGAATGTTACGTTAGAGGACGCAGAAAAATACAGAAGAAACTGTTGTCAGGAACATTTTCATAGCAATTTTCCCAAGTCTCTTTCTTTGGAAGTTCTTTGGAGAAGAAGAGCCTAATGGCATATGGAGTTTTCAAGCCTGTCTTGCAACATTAGCAAGGAGAGTTGGGGAGGAACGCTAAGGCTAGATTGCCCTCCACACAAGAAGAATCCACGAAGAGTTTTGTTTTGTTTTGTTTTGTTTTGTTTTGTTTTTTGAGATGTAGTCTTGCTCTGTCGTTCTGGCTGGAGTGCATGGAGTGCAATGGCGCGATCTCAACTCACTGCAACCTCCACCTCCCAGGTTCAAGAGATTCTCCTGCCTCAGCCTCCCTAGTAGCTGGGATTACAGGCACCCACCACCACACCCGGCTATTTTGTGTGTGTATGTATATTTTTAGTAGAGATGGGGTTTTGCCATGTTGGCCAGGCTGGTTTTGAACTCCTGACCTCAAGTGGTCAGCCTGCCTCGGCCTCCCAAAGTGCTGGGATTACAGGCGTGAGCCACTGCACCCGGCTGAGTTCTTCTTGATGGGACTTGAACAAGAGAAAATGTAGTATTCCTGAGCCATTCATTCCTGGTCTGTGGAATCTAAAATGCCAAGAGATGGGAAAGCACTGGAGGGTGAACCAAGTGGGGTGGTCTAATGAGACTCTGCCCGCATGTCCACCCTGTCTTTTGGGGAATTTCCCTGTCGCCAGCATCCCTATCAAGGGAAAGGGATACATCAGCGCATCTAAACAGAGATCTGTATAGTGAGACACACGTGGCATCCTTGGGCCACAAGTTGCTCACTGTATGACTAGTCATTCATTCACAAGGGTCCATTGAGCGCTATGTACCAGGCACGGTTGCAGGCACCACGGGTCTAGCAATTAGCAAAAGAGACCTCAACATTCAGCTCCCTGATGAAGGAAAGTCAAATGCCTGTGCTATAACGTCAGGCAGTGATCAGTGCTTTGCAGAAAAATAAACTGGGTAGAGGAGCAGGAAATCAGTTCCTGCTGATGGTGGCACTTTGAAAGAGTGGTCCAGGAGGCTTCCCGAGACATATATGTTGAGCAGAGGGAGGAAGCAGCCCTGTCAGTGTTCAGGGAGGAGCATCCCAGGCAGAGGGGAGTGCAGAGGGCCTGGGGTGCGTGGACGCCTGACATGTCCAGGGAGAAGAAGGTAGGCCAGTCAGTGAATGGGGAGGGGCAGGGAAGGAAAAAAATGAAACCTGGATTGGGAATAAGTTAGAGTCTTATGGGCCAAGGTAGAACTCCAAGAATTGTAGAAGTGTATGTATTATCCCCTCTCCCAATAAGGCTGCATAACAAACCATCCCGAAGCCTGGGACTTGAAGCAGTCATAGTCCATCATTGCTTCCAAACCTCTGGTTGGCTGCATGGAGCTTCTCAGCTTGACTGAACTGGAGTGAACAGCCCTTCCGGTCCAGCCGGGGCTCACATGCACCTGGGTGTGGCCACTGGAGGGTCTTGGTTGGTTGGCCTGGGGTGACCGCCTTGCTCCTTGCTCTCCCCTCCTCCATCAGGTGAGATAGGGCTTCTGGCCGGGGACAGTTGGGCCATGAATGAGGCAGAGACACGGAAGACCTCATGAGGCTCAGGCTTGAATGGAGAAAGGCACTTCTTGAATTCTGTTGGCCAAAGCAAAGCTCAGTGTCTGCCTGGTTTCAGGGGTTAGGGACGTTAACTCTGTCTCCAGCTAAGAGGAGCCAAGAAGTCATGTCAGCAAGAATGTAGATGTG